ATAACATGTATAAAATAAAGACAATAAACTATAATAAACACTATAATATGAATAAAGTAAATAGAAAAAAATAAACAATAATTAATAATAAATTAAATTAAAAATAAAAATAAATTACCAATAAAACTTATCCTCATGTTTAATATTTTGTGGTTTGAATATAAATAATATAAATATAAAATAAAAAGATAACTATAATAAACACTAGAAAACTCAATAGAATTTTAGACAAAAACTATTTTAATAAATGCATTTTCAAAACAAAAATAAATTGTAAATATAATAACCATTACAACATGAATGAAAATGAAACTGAACAACTAGAGAAAAGTATTTAATGAACAAATAAATTAAACTAATAAATACAACTCCCAGTGAAAAACATTTACTTATTTAATATTTTATGGTTTTAACATAAATAATATAAATATAAAATATTTCAAAATAAAAAGACTATTGTATCAATGAAAACAGAATTAAACACTATTGTATTAATCAGAATCAAAGACTTTATGACAAACATCTAAACCACCAAACATAGTTAAAGCTAAACTAAACCAAAAACCATGATTCGTAATGAAGTACAAATCTGGTGAATGATTGAAAACTCTTTGCTGTGTGTGTGTACCTGCTATCTGGAGACGTATGTATATGTCCGCGAGGGCGATCGCCTCTCCGGCTGGCCATTGGTGGAGACATTCAGGAAGTCCCATATAAGGATCGTGTCGTCATGGGAACTACTAATAATCTGGAACTCATCAAACTGCAGTCGGAACACACGCCCAGAATGCTCCTGCGAGAGGTTACCATGACAACACACATGAACAAAAGAACATGAAAACATACAGTAACGCACACGCAAACACACTGCAAAGGTCTGTCAGAAACGGCGAGTATGGTGTTGAGGAGTAAACGCAGCAACGCTACTGACGTAACTGCATGTTTCTGCAGCGTATTAATTGCTCAGCTGTTGAAATAATCATTCAGTTAACCTATATTGAAATGTATACCAAAAAAAATCATAATTCTCAAATCAGCAGTCTCCTTGTGCTGGGGAAACCACTTTGCAGCTAGTCTGTCAAACTGCAGGCTACTAGAAATACCAGTACTTAAAGCACAGGGAGATTCCTATTTTTATTTTTTATTTTTTTAAACAAACTGATTGACTAAAAGAATCAGATTACTACAGTGAGGAATCCCATTATTTTATTGAATCCGATTGTTTCATAGTTTGTTGAATAGTATCGCTAGAAATACTAATCTTTCAGTGAATCAGTCGGTTTCAAAGTTGGTTTAATAGTATAGCTAGGAATCCAAGTTTGTTTAACAGTATAGCTAGAAATCGGATTCTTTTAGTGAATCAGTCTGGGAATCGGATTCTTTTAGTGAATCAGTCTGGGAATCGGATTCTTTTAGTGAATCAGTCTGGGAATCGGATTCTTTTAGTGAATCAGTCTGGGAATCGGATTCTTTTAGTGAATCAGTCTGGGAATCGGATTCTTTTAGTGAATCAGTATAAATGTGTTTTGTCACTTTTGATCAATTTAATGCATGCTTTTGACTTTTTGGTGGCACAGAATTTCCTTAAAACAAAATAATAGATTCTCACACTATTTCTACAACAATTCAAGTACTAAATATCTCCTGTAATAACTGCTACACTCTTTTGGCATAGCCGTTGTTAAAACAAACAAAGTTAGAGGCAAAACTCTAGTGGCATAAGTTAATAAGCGCAGCAGGTGAAAAACACAGACGGACCGTAAATTACATGTGAACAATCTCACCAGCAGCTCAAACATCCTGCTCGAGCTGAACGCGGCCAGCTGATGTGCTAATGCTCTTTAAACACGATCACATTACAAAGCCGCTTCCCTCTTCAGGTGTTAAACGTCCGGCCGTTTGCGCTTCCACTCGGAGTGACGTAAACCTGATTTATGCAGCTGTACAGCTCATTCCTTCAAACTCTCACAGGTGAGAGAAACACACACATACTAACGCTGGAAAAGGTGACAGAGCTTTAAACGCTTCTAGGGAAGTGATGTCATTGTTTCCATGGGGATGCTTCAGCTGGAGGCAGTATGTGTGTGAAACATTTCAAACTAATTACCTAATATAGATTTACAGCACATCATATTTTTTATTTCCTGCTTAAGGATTCCCATACTTTTAGACAAAGGACTTTTATAGCTGTTCAGGGTTACTGGATAACAATTTTTAGAAATCATTTTATAGAGATGAATGTGAAAATGAGAAAAATGTGTATTGATTAAAGAAATTATCTATGCTCTCTTTACCGTTTAGTTTATAATAAACTATTATTACATTTCTTAGCCTTAGTTATTTTAGAACATCAAGCTAAATGAAATAAAAATGATACATGTTTAAGTTTTTAATATATATATATATATATTATTTCAGTTAACATTTATTTCTTTACTTGAAATAAAAATGCTTTTAATTGTTTACGGTTTTAGGAGTGCTAAAATACTTTAAAAGTAAATTTTTGAAGTAGCATATAACTAATACTTAATAAAAACTCTATAGACATATAAAAAAACTTAATGAATTAAACAAAAATTATAATAGTATATCAATGTATTAATTTTTATTTCAGTTTTTGTTTTAGTTATTTTAGTACATCAGGTTCAACAAAATAAAAATAGGAAATGTTTTTTATACATTTTATTTTAGTTAACTTTTAAGTAAGGAAAACTTATTTTTTATGGTATTAGTTTAACTATAATAACCTTTAGAAATCATTCTAATTGTCTAATTTGCTGCTCAAGAAACATTTCTGATTATTATCAATGTTAATATTTTTGTAAAAATGCCATGCTACATATTATTTTTCAGGATTCTTTGATGCATTGAAAGTTCAAAAGAATGTATTGAGGACCCGTATTTGCATGTATTCAAATCTTTTGTAACAATATTAATGTATTTTTTTAACTATTATAAAACAACAACCTTTCTATATGTACTGCGTTAGACTAACCGAGACTTGTCACAGCACTTATATATTGTTGCTCTTTTGTTGGATTTGATTGCTTCTATTGTCCTTATTTGTAAGTCGCTTTGGATAAAAGTGCCTGCTAAATGATTAAATGTAAATATAAATGTCTTTACTGTCACAAATGTATTTACTGTCAATTTTGATCAATTTAATGCATCCTTGATGAATAAAAGTATTAATTAAAAACCTAACTGACCCCAAACTTTCGAACAGTAGCGTAAAATCTGTCAGCAATTATGCCGCTGTAATATTTGTACGTACCTGACAGTAGAATCAGAGGAGCCCGTCACTATGACTCTGTCATCGTACTGCAGACACAGAACCGAACCAGTGTGACCCGTCAGGACCTTCAGACACTCCAGAGACTGTTTGTCCCAGATCTGACAGACACAGAGAGAGTGTGACAATCACCACAACACACAGAACGACAGACAGACAGAATGACAGACAGATAGGTACTTTGATGGAGTTGTCTCGCAGGCCGCTGATGATCTTGTCATCGTCATACTGAAGGCAGTAAACACCTTTACTGTTCTCTGACCGGCACTGAATCCGCTGAAGATTGTGACGTCCACAACGCCAGTTCGCTTCAATAGTCTAAACGAACAGAACAAGGAAACAGGAGACTGAATGAATGGGTAGATGGATGGATGAGGCTGTAATTGGATGGACAGATTTATGAATGGATGGACGCTCACCTCGATGTCCTGTATAATTTTGGGATAGAGTGAATGGTAGTATGAATTGGGCGGAACCTCGTTTGTTCGGTTCTTAAATAAATATTTCTCCCTGGGGATGAAAAACAAGAAAAACACCAATTAGAATCAAGCAACGGATAAATAAACAACCCAAATGATTATGAACTTTTTACGATTCATCAAGAGCGTTTGCATGGCATGATTTTATTTTAGTTACGGTTTAACAGTTTTGCAATATATATATACAGTGGGGCAAAAAAGTATTTAGTCAGCCACCAATTGTGCAAGTTCTCCCACTTAAAAAGATGAGAGAGGCCTGTAATTTTCATCATAGGTATACCTCAACTATGAGAGACAAAATTAGAAAATAAAATCCAGAAAATCACATTGTAGGATTTTTAAAGAATTAATTGGTAAATTCCTCGGTAAAATAAGTATTTGGTCACCTACAAACAAGCAAGATTTCTTGATTACCGATTTGATTCAATATCGATTATTTTGGATACATATCAGATACAGTACATGCCAAATTTTCTCAAGGAAAAAAAAGATCTCTCAACTAATGCTGTAAAATATACATGAGCGTAATTTGGTACTACATTACTATAATATTGAAGGTTAAAAATTGACTGATTACAAAATTGAAATTACACTTAATGAAGTTTTTATAATAATAAAGTTACAATTACATAATACTATTTCTACTTCAATTAGTTTTTTTGAAATATAAACATTTAAATGGTGGCTGTCATAAAAACTTGTTGGATTTATTCAAACATAAATTAAACATTGAAGAACAGTAATAGTTATACTGAATATGTTATATGGTGCATATATTTAGCAAAATGCTCCTCTCTACAGTTTATTTTTTTAGCTTACTAATGAGTTTATGGTCACCAAATATGTTTTTCTGAGGTAAATGTGACGTTACGTGTCATTGTTTACAAACCGTTATATTGACGTCTTTGCGCACTGAAACACTGATTGAGTGATTACATGAGACAGGATACGGATTGTAAAGTTGTACTCTTTTTTTTTTTTTTTTATTTTCCTTCGGATTTTTTGTCCTTTTTTTTTTTTTGTTAAAAGGGTATTA